CCCCCGCTGTCCCTCATTTCCCTCTTCACTCACAGCCACCCAATTAGTCCAAACCTTCTGCTACACAGACAAGCTCCAACATCTGCCAGAACCAGAGAAAATCATCACAAATATCTCACTGACGACCTTTATTAGTTTCTATAAGTTTGAGTTATCCATTACTAAACTGGTACTACTGGTACTAGTCGTGAATATTTAGATTTTTTTATATTGAATGTAAAAGATTACAATAGATAAACTGGAAAAGGATGTTTTCCTGACCATTTGGGAGAAATTGAATTATGTATATYATGAGGGCACATCCTGTTTGCAATCAATATTACCAATTTGTTCATTAAACCTCCTACTCAACTTCCAGAGATCAGCAGCACCTGTTGTTGACAAATAAAAAGCTGAAGTGCTGAAAATGTCTCTCTACATCAGTGGTACCCAATCCTGGTCCTTGAGGGCCTCCATCCTGCATCGTTTACTCGTTAATCAAGTTAATAAAGCCTGTTAATCACACATCATTCAAGCCAAAGCAGAGAAACATCTAGAACAAGCAGGATGGTGGMCTTAAAGATGAGGTTCTCAAACAGGGGTCCCAGAATCCCCAGGGATCCACAAGCTGTAGCTTGGGGGTCCCCCAAAAATTACAATAAGTTGTTGATTATGTTTTTTGTTTTTATTTCTAGAATTGCATGAGGAACAAGTGAAACAAACATACTAAACCAAGCAAAATATTATACGCATTTCATGGCATTTAGGGGTTAAAATGGCAGTAAATATATATATTTTTTAATCAGCATGAAGTTTATATGGGKATCCATGGTAATGTTTCACCTTTGAAGCATTGGAGAACCCCTGCCTTRAAGGACCAGGTTTTATTGCTCATCATCCTCACCTCAGGATAGGCCTCCCGGCCGAAGGGGGGAGGGAACTCCACATCCCCCCACTTGGATTTGCAGATGTAATCAGCYGTTGCATCGATCTTTGCCGCCATGTCCAACACATAAACGCCATCTTTTGTGACCACTAACATTTAGGAGGAAAAAAAAACAATGAAGAAGTTTATATTCCAACACTTATTTAAAGGATGTTTGCTTTATTTTAAGAAGTTTTGAACAGGGGTCGAGGCACAGGTGATYCACAACCTCCCAGAAAGAAGTGCAGGGGGAGTGAAGATGAGGAGGAAGTGGCAGGATTTCAAAGCAGCACTGCAGCCACAACAACACGAAACAGCTGCCTGGGCATGTACTGGTACCCAATTACTCCATGCATTCATCAAACAGCGAGTGCATGAAATATTTAATCATTTCCTCCCTGGATGGTAAAAAATGTRGCAGAATCTTGTGTTTTATTATGCACTGTTTTCCTCTCCAGTTCCTCTTTGATGCCCTTTTTCCAATTTCATAACCTAATAAACTGATGAGCTAGAATAAAGAGAGGACGCAACAGACKGTTTATGTTGTTGGAGATTTGAGTCGATGAAAACCTACCCAGAGGGTTGATCTCCAGGTATGTGAAGAAGAGGTCCTCGTACAGGTTGAAGAGTCCAACGATGAAGCTGGCCAAAACTCTGACAAAATAAAATCAGGATAAATCGGCAGCGTAATCAGCCTTGGGACAACTTCAGAATAAATGACAAACTAAACTCATATTTCAGTCACTTTAAAAAACAGGAAAACATTTTCTTCCCAACTAAATACTGCAAAATTTATTCATTTATCAAAACAAACATTTTGTATTTGCTCCTGCTTGTTTTGTCAAACTGTAACAGATTGCATTTATTATTAGTGCTGACTCAGATATTTAATTACTCTATAAGTGATACAATGTAAGCCATTGAACACTCTGCTCACACAGTAAATATAAAGTATAAATTTAGTTTCACTCAAGATTGAAATGAAAACAAAGACAGACGTGCGACTCTAAACATGTTCTAAATCATACAACGGTTTTTAAATTTTTAAATACTGCATGCAAACACTTTTTATAGTGATCTGCACGATGCTTTTCTGCAGACCCATTTATCCTGTAATAAATCAGAGCACGGTGAACCACAGCACACATCACTAAAGGTTTGTTCAGGATGAGCCGAACGACAAACAGCCCACCTGTAAATAGAACTGAGGGGACTTTCTGCAAGAGCAGAATAAATTTGATTTGTTTTCGCCGTCATATGTCACGATGAAAAGACGTGGGGGAGGAGGCGAAGGTCAGCCCGCCTGTCAGTTTATCTGGCAGCTCTGAGACTTCGTAACCACATCAGGACTCACAGCCCGTGGAGAGAAACTGTAACACAACAAAAACAAAACAAAAAAAAAGCCTCCCTRCTGTCAGCTTGTGATGGGAAGGCAGGACAAACTGGCCTCCTGTTTTCAGTCCGACGTACGTGTTTGGATGGAGGAGGAGGAGGAGGTGGGCGGAGGGATTTCTGGGGTTCAATGTCAGCCAAGACGGCGAGCCTCGAAAAGCCTCTGCTGTCACAAAAGTGGCGTTATAGGGATGGATGGGAGGGGGTCGGCGGAGGGCGAGTCGCTGCATCCTCCCTTATGAAAACAGATGGACGTGCTCTGAATATCACCGCGTTAAACAATAAAATAAAAGCTTAGGGTGGGGCTGATTGAAGAGAGGAAAATGCAATTTGTTTAATGGAACCGTGCGGCCTCCCCTGGCACGAGACAGCTCTGACTTTCACTTGGATTTTTCTATAACTTCTCAATTATACCTTTATATAATGAATAACATAGCTCTGAAGATGCACCATTGATTTGTTATTTTATTTATTTATTTTTTAAACAAACTTACGACTTTTTGTCATTCGGAGCCTTGCTCAGCAGTTCCTTCTTCACCTTCTCTTCGCTGATCTTTTCATCCACCCCAATCAGCAGCTTCTGYGCCTTGGCGTCCACGTCTCCAACATCCACCCCGCCCTCGTGGTGAAACAGCACGTAGTCTCCCTCCCGAGAGGCGTRTACGCACACGTAGAACTCCTCAGCCTGAACAGTGGACCACGGGAACAAAGTACGTACAAAAAGAAATGAATCTGGATCTGACATTTACAACCCAAATTCCCAAACAAATGTCTGATTTGAAGTGGACATATCCTGCTTTTAAATCCTTCTTTTTCACATTTCAATCACTCCGTTGGGTTTTTTAAAGTGGAACTACAACGCTTTGGTCTGAATTCCATCTTATTTTAACTTTATCAGCCTGTTTTTTCACACGGTTTCTGAGGCGTGTCTCAAAACAGCTGGTTTTCTTACTGTTCCTTTAAGATGCTTCAAGCTCCGCCCCCCTCCGGCTTCCAGACCGATCCACTCCAGCTTGAAAGAGGGGGTTAGCATTCTCTAGCTTGCAGAAATTATTTACAATTTAATTAAAAAGGTGTGAACAAGGGAAAACTTGTCCATCCAGCCTTACTTGATGGTGCCAGAGTCTGACCTAAAACCAGAATCTGACCCAGAACCAGAGTCTGACCCAGAACCAGAGGAGAATTAAGACAAGGAAACTGTAGTTGGTCCAGACCTTATATGGCAATTCTGTCGCAGATAATTTGACGTAATAGTTCAGAAAATTTCAGAAAATAGAGAAAACTGAAGAGGTTGAAAAATTGTGACCCAAACAGAATATAAAAGATATCTTTGCAGCACAAGAAGAGACTAAATTAAACTTTTCTGCCTMCTAGAGACTCCAGGTGCACAACAAAATATATTTACCAACTAAAATTTTTTTTATTTTGCATGATACGTCCCCTTCAATTAGCCTTTTAAACTGTTGTCAGAATTAGGGTTGTAATTTCCACTAATACCATTTTACTGTGAAAGAGGAATCTAAATATAGTATAAATTAGGGCTGCAAGAAAATATAGATACACTGAAATATCACAATATTTCATTTCCTGATACCGTCACGATTTTTAATTATGTCTTGATGGATGTGAGAAGAAATGTGAAATACTGAAGTGTTCTTCTGATTTGCATAAAAATGAACTGAATTCAATCAGATTTTATGCATGTACTGCACAGTGTGCTCTTTATACTGGGTTTCTAAATTAGAATCTTTTGGAGAAAAAAAAGCCAACATATCACCTTGCTTACAGTACCGCAATATATCACATTGTGTGTTGTGATGTCATATCAATAAATTCTTGGCAACAAAGCCTGACATGGATGCATGATGATTGGTTTACCTGCTTGTGAGGAACAAATGGCTCAATGAGGAAGTTCTTGAGAACACCTTTGGCTTTTCCCACCTGTGAATCAACAAAAGCACAACTCTTAAGACTTTACTTCAATAAAAAAAAATAGAGTAATTTTGCACGTTATTCATGGGCTATTAACAGTTGCTCGAGTCCTCGTTTATTTTCAACACACTACTGAGAGGAGGGGCAAATGATAACGACAAAAACACCAAAGTAGATCCAAATAAATTGACATTTCAAAAAGGGATAAAAAGACTGCAGCTTCCCCCCGACATGGAMACGAGACGCGGGTAAAGAAAATGAATGGATGAATAATAAAAGGAAAAACTGTCATGTCGAGCTGCAGCTCATTTAGTGGAAGCTGTCACTGTTCCCCTGTTAAAGGCCAAAAGAAATGAAGTGGAACCAAGGACCGGCCGAGAGAGAAATGAAGAGAGAGTTGCCATTTCAAAGAACAAGAGGAGTCTGGGAACAAAAAAGAAACACTACCTGATTAAATCTTACAAGAAGCTGAGCTCAAATGAGGTGACATTTGGAGAACACCATTTATCAGCTGAAGTATAAATTAACAACGTGCTAATGAGGGTAATTTATCAGCTCAGCTGTGTTTCTCAAAGGATAAAAACATCGCCACAAAACAGCAACATTTACTTCTATTTGCTGCCGTCGACAGTTTCCTGTAATCTGTGAGGAGCTACAGCTGTGCTGCTGCTGCACCACAAACACTCCTCTTCTGTGTTTTATGAACCGCCRCGGTTCCTGCAGAACCCCCTGCTGGTTTATGAGGCTCAGCGGCGTCTGGGAGCAGCGCTGATGGACCGAGCGTTTGATCAGCGGCGGCGCTCACCTCGGCTGACTGGGCTGATTTACTACCGGCGGACGAACATGGATGTAAACAGCTACTAGGGCAGAGATGAGTCTGGCAGGGAACGTGCACACAAAATAAAAAATAAAGAAATAGAACATGCCTGCAACGTTACAGAGAACAGACCATTTCGTTAGGGATGGCGTGATTTATGATTCAATCGTCTATCGGTGATTGAAGGGTTGGAATGCAATTTTTTAAAGGRCGATCTTTATTAATTAATTAAATGCTGTGCCAGGGATGTAAAATAAATTTAAAATGCACCCTTCTCTGTAAATTAAAATGTTTTAATCATCATCATTTTGATCTGTGCAAATGAGGGAATAAAATTACAGTGCTGCATCTCTGTTTTTTATTTTTTATTTTCTCGGAGTCGGAGCCAACATGCTCCTCTTCACGTCTCTCTTCTCGTCATCTTCTTGCTTTGGTGCGCCACAAATGACCCAAATAGTGCTTTATTATTATATTTAGTTACAAAACGAATAATCCATGACAATCATACATTTGAACAAATAACTTTAACCAGTTCCGAACCGGATCAGAGCGCCCTCCCTCAACCCTGCTCATCCCCGTCACTCTGGGCTCTGTGTGAGGGTCGAACTTTTCACCCCCCTCCACATAAGAACACATACGAACTATATGGTGTGATTGGTCAGAAGTTTGTGGGAGTGTTTGTTTGGGCTAAAAGCACTTAAGACGCTGCGTTTGCTTCAACCACTCGCTTAAAAAAATAGCGAGAAAAAAAAAGTGACTCGTTTGAACACTGACTACCAGGAAGCAGCAATTTATAAAGATAGTCAAACGGCCAAAACCTCATAAAAAGGGGATAAAATAGACTATTTTCATGGTGAAATCTGACTGATAAAAACTCGAGCTTAATCCTGGACCAGTTTGTGGATAAACTATGTCGAGTGACGAGTCTCAGACTTTTTTTCCCCGCATTGGACTCCCTCGGGGTAGAAATCCCCTGTAGTGACGTATGCAGCAGCGGGGAGGGGGTTTCCCAGGAGCTTGGCGCGGGGGTCTCAGGAACTATGAAAATTACGTGCGAACACGAACGCCGAATAACCACGGAATTTACAAGCGACTTTAGAAAAAAAGAAGCCGTCTGTTATAAGCAGAACTGCATGCTTTTTTTTTGCCTTTTTTTTGTAACAACATAACTGCGCATGCCTTATCAGCCGATTGGATCATCTATCGGCGATGGCCATTGACCATGATCTATTGATCTGAAAATAGGGACGATTTCCCACCCCTACATTTCGTAGTTAAAAATTGTTCCAAAGGCTATGGGAACGCAATTGAAACTGAACAAACACAAAAGGTAAATTTACATCATTATACAGACCCGATGTATTTGATTTGAACTGATTCTTGTGAAACTCTCCTATAGGATCATAGATGAGAGTTTTCATAAATTTTTAAGCTATAAATCTTCCTTTGAGCTTGTTAATTTTGCATAATTCCAGTGGTGTTTTCACAGCAACATCAGTGTTTTATCAATTGAACTGTGACCAGGAAGAGTTAGGACCAGTTAGGCTCACATGCAATAAAAACTACGAAACGATCKATTGTGAGGTAATGGTCTGAGGGAGACTGAGTCATACCGTCGTCTCTTTCATGAGGCGGGGCTTGAGCCACTCTTTGGCACCGTGCAGGTCCAGGTTGACGCCGACCAGACCCAGCTTCCCTCGCCGTTTGATCAGCTGGTCCGGCTTCACCACCAGTCTCTGCAGGAGGGAAACACTATGTTGTCATCGATAAAACTAAAAGTTAGACTAAAAAAACAACATAAAAACATAAACAGGAGTGTGACTGACGAGTTAGCTTAATTACATCCAACCCCGCCCCTCAGTGTCCCCCTCTTTTGTAAGTCAGATAAAAAGGAATGACTCACGACAGAGGAGCCATTACCATCTGGAGGCTCGCCAGCGAGCTAAAGGAAAAGGGCTGAGGGTGAAAGTTAATGTGATTTCCTCATCAATTCTACAGCAGCAAACATCTCTGAGGAGCCGTCCTCAGCATCCTCCTACCTCCCTCATAAAAACCCTCCACCGAGAAGGAGACGGACAGACAGGGTGACGTTTTGCCCTGCGAGAGGAACAACGAGGGAATTAAATTAGGTTTGATTTTACACTGAGCTACGAGGAGCAGATGGTCAGAGGAAGTAATTCTTCCTTAAGATCCCAGTTTAGTTTAGATTCACTGATAAGGAAAGCAGGTGAGATGCTTCGCTTTATTACTAACATTTATCACACTTCTCTTTGCTTTTTCAGCTAAMAAAGAAACACCACTCTGTAACCAGTGTCCCTACAAACCCGTATGTCACCACTTTATGGTCCAGTTGTTCTATCAGTTAAATCATCCTCATTCTCACCTCAGAGAGCAGCCACGGATGCTCCTGCACCAGTCGCTCAAAGTCGGTCTCGGTGGTCACGTTGGCGTGGCGGAACTTGTTCTGGACCGGCGCCGAGGTGCAGATGTACCTGTAGAGGAACTCCTTCCCCGTCTGCTCAGAGATGGCTTTGGCCGACATGACTGCAGAGACAGGAAGTGAAGATTTAGCACGAAATGTATCTTAAATTTTTTTTGTTTTTGTTTTAGCTTTGTTTTCATAGTCTGCAACATGTAGCAATGATGCCTCCAGAGCAGACAAGAATTTCATATGATTGATCCCAGAGTTTGTGATTGGTAAATAATAAAGCTAATGCTAAGCTAGCTAGCGACATAAGCACTACATCAAGTTACATTGATTTCAGTCCTGCATCCTGATTTAAAGTGCCTGTGACATGCATATCCATGAAATACAAAAGTCAAATAAAATATATTTATATTTAAGAAACTTGGCATAATACAGTACACATGATTTTACTCACCATGTCACATAAATGGCATATTTTCTTTTGAAATTGGCACAACTAAAGTGAAACAGGAAGTGACATCAAAGGGGAACTCTTTAAGAAAGAAAGTTCCCTGTTTTTTGTTTGTTGAAACAATGTTTGAAATATGACTCTCTCATCTCTCTGTGATAGTGATTAAAATAACTTAAAGAAACATCAGATTCTTCTCTACATTCAGTGTTGTTAGCCATAGTAGCAGTGCTCTGTTTATGTGCAGACATTCCCCTTTGACATCACTTCCTGTTACTTCACATGCCRATATCGCAAAAACTATTAATCTCACACACGTGAAATCATTTTTACAGTATCTTATCAGTGTTATCCTTCCAAAAATACATTCATATTTATTACAAAAAACTGATGTCACAGGCACTTTAAAGTCACTTATTTGTGTCGTCCTGAATCCAGCTTTATCTGTTTGACCTGAACACTGATGTGGATTTATTTTCTGCTGCTGAAGCTAAACCCACCTCCACACCACAAACATGAACATTTTATTGTGAAAAACATAAAAAAACTCATTTAAAGACTCGTAAAATAACAAAACTCCTTCTTTTGTGCAGTTTGAGACGAAAGTAAAAGAMGGACATTCAAAAATGCTATTAGCATCTATAAATTTTACAGCTAAAGGGGTGGAGATGTGACCTTCACTCTTTAGCCACGTGTTACTTCTGCATACTTTGTACTTTATTAACCCTTCATATTTTTTTTAAATGTGCACCAACAGTGTGAGGTGTGCTTTGATTATTTTAGTTTTAACTCTTGTATTTAAAGTTTTAAAACATGGGTTTTGTTTAAAATAGGCTATAAAATATTAGTTTCACTAACTACCACCTCTAAAAGCTTGACGATCGGTGTTCGTCATTCACCCTCGCAGGGATGGAGCACCTGCCGTCTATTTCTGGATGTTTCATTAAGCTGAAAGCCCTGATGTTGTCTCTGGCAGCCGTTTCCTAAATGGATTGATGGGCCTGCCTTGGACCGCTTTCACTATCGATCCCGGTTGTYGCTCCTGAGTCACTGCAGAGCTGCTTCGGGGCCGAGCAGAAGCGGTTTAATAACCTTCCAGGTTCCATTTATCATCCCACTTTTTTGTGTAACGGACCTATCAGAGAGGTCTGGAACCTCACTGGAACACAACCACAATTATAGGCCTAGCCTTTGTTGAAGGAATGCATATCGCCCGCCGCCTTTTGTTCCAGAAATTTAGACTAACAGCCTATCCTGAGATACGATGGAGCCGACGCTGTTTTGGTCAATCTCATGCAGCAGTCAAAGATGCTATGCTCAGAGTACGTGTTCTGAATGACTCTCAGCAACTACCACGAATTGCAGCTCAATATCTGTACAACTGAATGGGTTATAGCCATTTCTGTGCTTAATGATATGAAAAGGCCGTGGCAGTCATCGTTAAATGAACGGACTCAAAAAGTTAGTTAAAGAAACACATCCAACGATTCCCCTCTGAAAGTTTAACTTAGATCTGATCAGTGACTCATTAGATATTTTGCTAAGAAACAGAACTCACTCTTAATTAACGCTAAAGGTTTTATTCAAAGCTCTCAGCCAAGCAATGAATAACACTTTAAGTTTGGGCTGGAAGAAAAAAAAATCCAGATTTTCTTCATCCCAGCTTTGATTTTCGATTTTAATCGATTTTGTTTCCCTCTTAACGGAGTGTCTCTGTTTCTGTTGTTGAAACAAATTTGTTGTACTCCTGCTGTTTGTAGCAAGAGCCTTCAAACAGATTTTTGCAGTGAGGTGTTTGTTGCTCCAAGTCCAAGGTTGAAAAACCTAAACATTTCCCTTTTGGGTGAGTAGATAATACTCTTTGCTAGCAGCCATATTGTCGTGTCATGTACCAAGCATCTTAAGGGACAAGTTGGGGTGACCTCTGAACTACAGAAGCCTGTACTGGTGGGGGAAAAATAAGAAAAAAATCCAGGTTTTCTCAAAATCAAACCTTAATAAATGGTAAATTCGAATTAAATCGATGTATCGCCCAACCCTACTTTAAGTATGTGTTGTGAATTACTCTCAGCTACTGCCACAGCACATTTTAGCTCAATGTTTGTAAAAACTGATCAAATTATGCCCATTTTTGTGTTTTCCATATTGAGTTGCCTGTGGCTGCCATCTTAAAACGGGCTGGTTCCAGAAGTTAACCAGCTGTAGAGCTGCATCTAGTAATGAAGTCCTGAAAGTTTCATTAAAAGTTATCCAGTGGTTCGTGAGATATTTTGCTAACAGACTCAAACAAAAAAAAGTGTTCTGCCTTAAAAAGGAGGGCTCAACCAACTTGATTAATTAATTTACAAAAGATTAACATAAATAACACAATTCATTAACAGTCCAAATAATTTCTGCGTAGCAGGAGTATTAATTTTAAAAAGCGGAAATAACTTGTTTTGCGTATTTTCACAAGAAGCAACGTTTAATTTTATTTTAAATACAATTATTTACCTTTCTGTTTTCTCTCTGGTTCTGTTGTAGCTGAGGTCTACAGAGGGTGGATGTCTTGGGCCGTCCTGCAGCTTCACTCCGTCCCGCCTGCTGCATGAACCTGTCGGGCTCTGGAGACAGCGAGGCTTCCGGTGAGTTTTGTCTCGAGCGTTCATCTGCCGACCGGTCTTAGCTGATGTTTCTCGGCCTCTGATTGGCTGATTCCACCAGCGCACTTCTGTTGCGTTCATGAACCGTCGGAAAGTTCACAACAGGACAAACATTTCACGCGACTTTTGGCATTTGATACACGATATGATAAAAGAGAGGTTATAGACTTTAATTTAAATTTAATTTAGATGTTTTATTTATTTTACTTTTGTTTGTATACATTTATTGGCATATATCAGGTCTTTTAGGTGTATGGTGCTTTGGTGAACTATTTAAAATGCGCTCATAATTAAATTTGACATGAGTTTTTTTTTAATGACACTGCTGTAGCAATCATTAACATTTAATTTGTAAAATTTACAGTTTTGGTTTTAAATTCAGTGCTTATTCTTTTTTATAATATATCATATATGGGTAAAACCCCATTATAAAACAAATTTACAATTGATTCATCATACATTTTTAAAATCCCCAAAATGGACAGTACATATTCTATGCAAAATAGCATAACTTTAAAAAACTGTAGCTATGTAACAAAAATGCCTAAAAATATTGACTAAATCAACCATCAAACTTGTGCATTAATTAATCATAATATACATGATCTAAAATAACTAAAAGGGAAAAGTTTAGACCCATTAGGACACTTTCATTGCAATTTAACCTAAGACTTAATATTGGCTTGTTTGTTAAACTTTTAGGTAGCAACATATTCTTTTATTTAAAAAAAAAATCAATTAAAAACAAGTTAACTGCATGAACATAAAATTTTAAATATTTAGCTTTCAAATAAATCTTCCAAGTGCTGAAATATTAGCCAGCTCATGTTTATTGGTCCTCTGACATTTATTTACTCAGCAGCCGATGAGGTAATATCTGAACCTTTGGAGGGTCTTGCAATCAACAATACAGGGAACAAAAGGTTATCTGTGGCCTAAAAATAGCCAAGTTTTGTGAGATTCTCATTTTGCAACTGCAGTTTTAAATACAAGCAAGCCTTCTGATCAGATACTGAAACACATCTTGTGGTTGTTTAACCTAATATAAGAACGAAAGTTTAAAGCAGTTAAAATTTGAGGTTTGTTTTCTGTGGTCAGTGGACAACTGATTATCATAACCTTTGTTTCATCAAGAGAAAATCTGGTTTGTGGTTGACGGTTTGCAGAATCTGCTGTACTGATGCGAAAACAAATTGTGTAAAATAGATCCAGTTATTTAAAAACAAGTTAAAACATGCACACTAGCTGAAATTATCTTGCTGATAAAGCCTGTAAGGCCTTGGTTACCTTTTCTTTCCCACAGCGCACAAACCACCAGCGCCACCTGCTGGTTTACTAAATTAGTTACAAGTGCATGATTTGAGTAGATAAAATTACTAAAACACAGGTTAACATCTGCCTCGTTCACCTAAAAACCCACAAACACTCAGACAAGAGCTTACTGGAGCAAAAGCATTTTATTTTTATCAAGTGTACAAAACAAGTGCAAAAATAGTGATTCTTAAGAACTACGTAAAGTAGGACTTCAAAAATTACAGCTACAAATCGAAACGCGGTACATGGAGGTACTCTTCAAGAGGGGATTACGCAGTAAAAATGATTGCAAAACATGGACTTAGATTCACAGCATTTCATCAGTACTAAGTGCAAGCTTCAGAAACAAATGCCAAATTATTAAGCATTCTCCCTCTTGAACAATGCAAAGACTCAACAAGGAAGGATCTCTACAAATGACAATTCGTTTTAACACAACTTTGGCCCATATCATAATCAACATTACTTCACAAAACATGGAAATGTCAGTACTCTAGAAGTGTAACATGGCAGGAGAAACCATTGTAGAGAGAGTTATATTAAACAGATTAGTCATGTGTTAATACAGTTAAACAGGAATGCATGCAGTACAAGTACCTAGTTTCACATTTGAATACAGAGAAACACTGCTGTGTAGAAGACGAAGTCTAAGTTTCAGGTAAGTGGTGGATTATGCTAGGCGAACAAAACGGCAGCTAACGTAACTTTTACTGACAGAACAAAACTGAACCACACTGAGAAGTCAGTCAAAAGGCATCTTAGGTTGTGGTGCAAATTTATGTAAAAAAAAAAGGCACAGAGCTTGTGGATTTAGGCTGCCTACAACTGAAACCCTAAATGCTGCACAAACACACAAACCTTGCGAAAAGAAAAGCCTCGGCTTTCATGTACCGAACGTTTCACGTGTGGATCTACAGAATGGCACATTTCAGCTTCTTTTTCTTTTCGTTTTCCTTTTTGGTCGGCTTGACCTCCCTGCGTCCGTAGAAGCTGGAGAAGCACGCCAGGGCTCTGATGGGCTCCTTGAGGTCGAGCATCCACCTGCCTTCGCCGAAGTACCTGAGCGAGCCCAGCTCCATCTCCTTCGCCTCCTCCGGCTGCTGCAGGGCCAGGATCTGGAGCAGGTCGACGCCCGTCTGGACGGACTCGACGCCCTCCGCGCAGCCCAGGGTGACGTGGGCGCGGCTCCCGGCGGGCAGGGAGGCGGCTTCGGGGACGGCGGACTCCGCCTCTTTTTCGCCGTCGGCTGGCCAGAGCTGAAGCTGCTCCTCGGTGAGGGACACCCTGGCTCCGACGGTGCGAGGAGTGATGAAGAGAGCGGTCAGGGACAGCTCAGACACAGAACCATAGGACTTGATAACAGCCTAGATTGAGGAGAGAAAAATGCTAAATTAAAATCTCAAATAAACGGCGATTGCTGAATGATTGACAAGCTTAATAATTAGCGCACCGTTCTCTAGAAAGTGAACATTTGATATAATAAAAGTATGCAGATGTAGTGAAGTGAAATGATTTCTTACAGAATTCTGTGCGTACTCTTTGGCACCATTAGCTTTTCCGTAGTCGCAGAATTTGGTAGTGCAATGTAGGGCCGTCTTGGCATCGAAGTACTGCTCCAGGTCCACCTCCTTCTCAGCTTTTCCTGTGACTGTAATCAAGACGAGATTAGTTGCATCAAATATTCCGACCTCCGTACAGAAAACTGTTTCGAAGCCACTCACAGTCAGCCATGTGGCTTTTGAACTCCTCCAAAGTGTCCAACGTTTTCAGGAAGTCCATGGCCGTGCACTTGACCCTTTCCCGTACCGACGGCAGGAGAAACCAACCGTAGAAGAGAGGGAGGGATGTCTCTTCAAGCGGACCTTTCATTGCCTCCAGCTGGGCCTCCCCCAGTCCTCGGCTGGTCTTCCCCTTCAGCTGAGCTGAATCTCTGCTCCATTCGGTTTGCGGCTCCAAGAAGAGGGCGATAAGATTGTGTTCCTTGGCGATCTCTCCCAGGGAAGCCAGACGGTCGGGGGTGTGGTTGGTGTCGTCCACCACCACCAGCAAGGAGGACGTGCTGGCGTCGCTGCAGAGGCCTACGACGGCCTCATCCAGAGCTTTGTAGCCATCGGCAGAGGACTTTGGATTCTCTGGTTTGACACCATGTTGATCAGCGGAGCAAACTGAACACTGGTCTTTGTAGGCGTCGGCGATGGCTCGCGCCAGGAAGCTCTTACCACTTCCTGGCAGGCCTCTGAGGACAACCAGGGTGCGGGAGATCCTCAGGGCGTCTTTGGTCTCCTCTTGTTCCAAAATGGCAAAAGACAGAGAGCCGGCTGCAGGGACTATGTTTTCTTCCTTCGGAGGCTCCTGCTCAGATTTCACAGCTTCAGCTGCCGTCTGAGCGGCGGGCTCAGGTTTGTCTTCTTTCTGACTCTCTGCAGATTCTCCACTTTCAACCTGAGCCGACGCTTCTGCTGGCTTCTCTGAGGAAACAACTTTATCCTGCGCAGCTTCGGCTGTGGCGTGCAGTTCTCTCTCAACCTTCACCTGTTCAGGTGCCTTCTCGACAACAATCGGTGGCTCCGTTTCGACTGGCGCAGGTAAAGATTTCTCCTCCGGTTCTGACTCTGGGACCAGTTCTGCTGGCTTCTCTGGCTCTGGTTCAGGGGCACTCTCTGCCTGCTGCGTTTGTAAAGGCTCTGGGATGTTCTCTGGCACGTGCTGCTCTTCGGGGCTCTCCGGTTTTGCGTCTGAATTTGCAGCCTGTTCGGGTGACTCTGCAGATTCCGGCGGTGCCACCCCGCTGGGCTCTGGCTCCTCGTTAGACTGGTCCACAACCGTCACTTCTTGATCTCCCGCCGCGGCCGGCTCTCCCGTTTCTTTTGTGCCGGCCACATCTGCAGCCTGACCGCTCACCGCCTGCGCCTCCTCCTCCTCCGCAGGAGCAGCTGGCTGGTTCTCAGGCTTCGTCGAGTCTTCCTCCACTTTTACCTCTTTTTCCACGACGGCCTCCTCTTGCTTTTGTTCAGACACTTCATTCTTCTCTGCATCCATGCTTGCTTTTCAAAGTCCAAACTCACACACCACCATATACCTTAAATACACAATTAAGAATCAATTAGACCAGAAATAACTGGAATTATAGAAGTATTTGCTCTGGAGAAGGATCATTTCTAATGTCTTAACATGACTGTCAGATCTTTATACAAAATAAAAGTCTTGTAAGCACTTTCAGAGGCTAAAAATACCATCTGGTTAGTGGCCAAAGTCTCATATAGGAAGTTACTCAATATCCAAATTTAGATAGACAATTGCTCGTCTATATCCAATTTCATTTTCCAATTATTTGTGAATGTGCTGGATTTAGGACCTTGTACCCAAATTTAAGCAATGATTTTGCTTAAGTTGAAGTTTTGCAACTCTGCGAACAAAAAAAAGGTGGAAGCAAAACAGTTTATTCAAAGTGCTGACCGATAATCAATCCAATGATAGACATAGCTGTGGATTTGCATAAACTGTAAAACCTTGATAGAAAGGAGATAAAATGTGATAAAATAGTGTAACAACAAGTACAACTTATTTTTTTTATTTTAGGAACCTCCATTGTGTTGCAGGTTGAAATGTTACACCTTAAAAGCTGTGTTAACTTAAAAATAGGGGAAATTGTTGTCAGTAAGAGAAAGAGGAAGAGAATACACAGCTGAGTGTCGCAACAAAGCCACTAAATGTGAAACTCTGTAGTTTCCAACTAATAAACAACTGAAACTAAAGCGTCAATTAAAAAGGGTTAGCATAATTTAAAACATGAATGTCGCTTATAAAAAGAAAAATAAAATAAAAACGTTAATTAATTATCTTTTTCTTTGTTTCAACTAATAACAGCGAAGGACTTGATTAATTGCCTTTTTTATTTTCTAAATTAAGAGTCAAAAACAGTATGAAAGTGGAGTCAGTTTCCTAAAAAGACAAAGAGAAACGGTGCTTTGCAGAGAGACACGGGCGCACATGAAGGGTGGGGAGTGGCGTGGACCATACTGGTTAGCACGCCAGACAAAAACAATTAAAAAAGCCCCATCGGTGAAATTCGGCTGCATCAACACCAGAGCCACGCGCCGCCGTCGCGTCTTTCACGAGTTTAGCCAAAAATGAGTAATAAAATTAAAAAACCGTTATGGGCGAAAAGTCGGCAAACGGTTGAAGTTCGAACAGTTAAAACACGAAGCAGGAGCTGTGACAAAGCGTCTGGGAAAAGGTTAGCTTGAAAAAAAAGATAMCAGCTTACCGAGAGCCCACGGAGCTGCTGCTGACCACGCGTTTCCCTCCGAGCACAATGACGCCGCAGTACTGCTGCCCGCAGGCTCACCGGAAAAAAAAGAAGCGGAAACTCCCGGGAGCGCGCAAACTGGGCGTGGCCACGGACACGCCCCTGAAAACCGGAAGTAGTAGAAAATGCATGATTTTTAATTGTGAGAATGCTGATATAGCATTAAAACAGTTTTTTTTTAAAGAATGAATGGTCTATTTTTTGTATTCTTATGCTAATTTTAGCCAGCCTTTTGCTACTTTCAAAGTTAGGCTAATGTTTTTGCTTCATTTAGCAAGAATTTTGCCACGTTTAGCTAAGATAGGTACTGCTGAAGCTTTTAAAATCTCTGCTGAAGGTTCATCTCTTTTCTTTGGCTTTGGATTGAGGCAGAGCTTGAACTAATGTTTATTTTTTTATATTTGTTTTTTATTCTTACTTTTGTTTTATTAAAACAACTGAGTCCTTGACTGAACTGTAAAGCAGTTTTGATTTTTTTTTTTGTTTTCAATGTGAAATAAAAATAAAATTGACAATTTTATTTTCTTCAGCTGTCATTCAGCAATTGCAATTTCTTTCAGAAATTTAAGGTGTAATTTTTAAATTGAGTTTATTGTTAATACATTCAGATTTTAGGAGGTACTGAGATGAAAATCCACAAGTTAACATGCCTTTATTTAATATGAACAACAGTCTCTTATCTTATATGCAAAACTTAGGCTGAGCAGACATCAGTCTTATCCCTAATGCTCAGTGTAATTTGCATAAACACAAAGCAGTTTATTATTGTAAAATGAAAATACTTCTTTATAAGAGACTCTGGAAAAACAAAGGTGCCATATATGAAAAGACTGACCATAAATGAAATGGAAAAAAAGAAAAAACAACTCTCTCTAATTAACACACAAACAAATATTTATAGAAACTTTCCAGTAAGCAGTCGTCTGTTTAAATTAAACCATCTGTGTCATAATATGAGCGTCTGCACAGAGGAAATGTGATGTTACGCTCAAACAGGAAATAAGTTTGGTTTAAAAAAAGCATTTAAAAGAAATGTTTAATACAAACACATCAGAATTTCCCAGTTTTTACTTGAAGGTACATTAACTGGCAAAGAAGATTCAGACTATTCCCAGATATCCACGGGAACAAATATTGCTTTCACAAATCAAACACCCTTTTTAATGAAAACTGTTTCTTCTTCCTTCTTCAGACCATCTGCTGCTTCAGAAGGCCTACACTCCTGCTGAATTTGCGGACGGTTCTTTTTTTTTTAAGCGAAGCTGGTTTCTCTGGACTCCGGATCTCCGTGTATTTCTCAAGCGACGTGATGCAGCCCTCAATGATGTCCTGCACTCGCTCTCCGCTCGCTGTCACGCCTTTAGCCAAGCCTTCAGAGCAAAAATAAAACCGTTAAAACAGCCTGTCAGAATGCTGCATTTAATATGGTGATGAAGAGGAAACGGTATTTACTTTAACAACCAATAAGATACATGAATAAATGCAGATGAGAGATTTGCACCTTCGTCTTTCATCAGATCTTCGAGAAATTTCTTGTCGTCGTAAAACTTCCCCAGCAGCTGTTTGGTTGTCTTCTTGTTCTTGTAGGTCTTCGGGGAGTCGTATCTTTCCTCCTCGGTCAGATCCTGAATGGCAGTGATTGGCTGTACTCTCTTGACACATTGAGAAAACATAAAAGGAGGAAATGCCAGGTTAAGTTATTAAAGTCTAATGAATTTGTGAGAGACATTTGACGAGTCAGATATTTGCAGGCAGATGAAGTGACAATTAAAAAAGCGAACAAGCAGGATATATTAAACCTGGCCCTGCGTCTTACCGCTGCTTCTTTCTGAAGAAATGAAAGATCTCCTTCACTGTTCAGCTCGACGGTGGAAGGACCTGTCAGAGATTACTGAACTGTTAAGGTTTGGGAGAAAAATGAAAACAATGCCAGAGGACAACAATAGCAGCACACAACACTTACTGCCAACAGAGTTTGCTATCGCCTCCTGGGATTTCTGCATACCGAGCCTGAACATGTGCGGGCGAAAGTCAAATCCTCTGCGGTAAAATACCAAGGCGAATTCAAACTCCCCCATGAGGAACAACGCCTCTGCCTTTATGTACAGTCCCTAATTTAAATAAAGAAATCAAACACACACACACACACACACACATAAATATATATATATATATCAGAGGTGTCAAGTATTCACATTCATTGCTTAAGTAGAAGTATAGATACTAGGGTTTAAAAATACTTTTTTGAATGTAGAAGTATCAACTCAAACTTTTTACTCAAGTATAAAAGTACTGGTTTCAAGTATTCACATTCATTGCTTAAGTAGAAGTATAGATACTAGGGTTTAAAAATACTTTTTTGAAAGTAGAAGTATCAACTCAAGCTTTTTACTCAAGTATAAAAGTACTGGTTTTAAAACTACTTAAAAATAATAGTAAAAGTAATGAACACTTAAAAAAGCCATTAAGGATAAAAGCTCAGGCAGTGCCACAGGGCTCTATAGCGCAGTGGTT